TGTGTGTGTGTGTGTGTGTGTGTGTGTGTGTGTGTGTGTGTGTGTGTTTGAGTGTAAATGGCATTTTCTGGTCCTCAAGAACGGGTTTTACTTGGCTATAGCAATCATTACACTGGTCCACAGTTTGTCTCCTTTATAGACTCTGAAGGACTGAAAGTAAAGCTCTGGAACATGGTTCACTCTGTTCCACCACTGCAAGAAAGAGAAAAGTTCTGTCCCACAGTCCTCAGGACTGGCCCTGGCTTCTGCGAACATGCTCCAGATTGCAGGCCAGTCAAGGAAGTCTGCATCACCCACTTCCCATGGAAAGAATGTTGGGGGATGAGCTGGTCTAGTCTGTGTAGATGCAGTGCTACCATCAGAGTGTAATGTGATGACAAGGGACAGACATGGGGAGGAGCACAGACAGAGTCCCTGAGCCATTCTGTCCAAGTAGGGCTGTGCAGGAGTCTCCTGCTAACTCAGGAGGAAGCCTTTTGGGCAGACATGAGCACAGACTTTGAAGAGGCCCATGAACTTCAGGCCTCTGGTGGCTGGACCAGGGACTATGAAAATCTCATCACTTATTTATTTTTATTTTTTATATTAAATGTAATTTATTGTAAAGTTGGTTTCCATGCAACACTCAGTGCTCATCCCAACAGGTGCCCTCCTCAATGCCTATCACCCACTTTCCCCTCTCACCCACCCCTCATCAACCCTCAGTTTGTTCTCAGTATTTAAGAATCTCTTAAATGCCTTTGGGCTAGAGGTAGAGACCCCAGGGATAGTGCATTGTGTTTAAGCAGAAATGGATAAATATTCCTTGCTAAATAAATGCTGAACAATATGAAACTGTCATAGGTTACTCAGAAATCCTGTTCTGTCTAAAGTAGTGAACTCTGTTCCTTGACCTCGGAATGATTTTTGGGTAGTTTCCCCATAAATTCTTTGGAAAGGCAATTTATGCCTGTTGAACATTTGTTTTAGCTGGGATGGGCCAGTTTTATCTATGAATTCTAAAAAGCCAAGGAAAAGAGTATCTCAGAGAGCCATAGGGGAGAGCTTGCTTTCCTCTCAATGTTTCCAGGGCAGATGAAAGTATCTGCTATGGCCACACTTGGGAAGCTTCTATAGATGGAGCAAAGAAAGCATAAACTAATATGTATTGGGTTTTGTTGTTCAGGTGAACATAAGATCCACTTTATTCCGGGAATGATTGGTCCTTTTCTGGGTGTGACACTGGTCCCACAGCCAGAAGTACGGAACATCATGATTCCCATCTTTCATGACATGATGGACTGGGAGCAGAGGAAAAATGGCAACTTTAAACAGGTAAGATGACACCTTCTCTCCTCTGGATGGACCCCTTCTGCCCAGGCAGGTGATCCAGATGGCCAGACTATGGTTCTAGTGGGAATGGCTACAGCCCATCTTGGCTTGCCCATCTTGAATCCTGTTCAAGGGTTTTCCCTTAATTGCTGACCAGAATTGATTTGTGGATTTTCTTCACGTAGCTAGAGGTCAGAAAAGAATAATAGGAAAGGAATGAACATGATATAAAGAAATTTTCTGTTCAAGGAGAGAGTGACTGAGACTGTGATCAAGTTTCATTCAGGAGAGGCCCTGGGAGCATAGTACCCTTCCTCTCTGGTGCATGGTCCAGGCATTTCTAGGGCTAGAGCCAAGATCAGATGACATCTCATGGCTCATAGCCCAGAATTTCATAGATTCCTGCACAGAGGGGTGGGTCCAGAAGGTATAAGCCCTTAGCTTCTGACTAAGTCACTTCAGACTGTTCCTCTGTGCATACCTTCTGCCACCTCTAAGGCAGAGGAGATGGCCCCTGCCTTTTTATGTGTAGCTCCAAGGAATAGGACTAGGACCAATAGTGGTCAGTGAAGCTGATTTTAGCTAATAAAAGAAGTAACTTGCTAGCAACAGGAACTGTCCAGTGTAAGCTAGCCTGCTTTGGGAGATGGGGAGTTCTTTGCTGGTGATTCTCAAGCAGAAGCTCCCAGGAGACCTCTAGAAGAAATTTATGTATTGGATTGGAGACTGTACCAGTTTCCCAGTAAGCTCCCTCCTAACCCTGTGACTCTGAGATAACCAGTGGTCTTGTAGTGAGTAGTTGTAACAGTGAGGAACAGACCAGACAGACAATAATTTTTAAATTCTTATTTGTTTATTTGTTTGTTTTTAAGTTTACAAAGAGCAAAATTCATTCTTTGTGATTTAAAGTTCTGTAAATTTTGATAAACACATAGTCATGTAACCACCACCACAATCAAGATTTTTGAAATTCCTAAGAATTCCATCATGCTACCATTTTGTAGTCAAACCTTCCCCCTACCTTTAACCTATGACAGTCTGTTCTCCATCACTGTAGGTGTGCCTTTTCCAGAATGTCATTTGAATGAAATAATGTAGAATGTAGCCTTTTGAGTCTGACTTCTTTCACTCAGCATAATGCCATCCAGAGGTTCATCCATGTTGTTGCACTTACCAATTTTTCTGTTGCTGAGTGGTATTCCATTGCAGTTATTCACTATTTGAAAGACATTTGCACTATTTCCACTTTTTGTTGGTTATGAATAAAGCTATTAAAAAATATTTCTTTAGGGGCGCCTGGGTGGCGCAGTCGGTTAAGCGTCCGACTTCAGCTCAGGTCACGATCTTGCGGTCCGTGAGTTCGAGCCCCGCATCAGGCTCTGGGCTGATGGCTCAGAGCCTGGAGCCTGCTTCCGATTCTGTGTCTCCTTCTCTCTCTGCCCCTCCCCCCTTCATGCTCTGTCTCTCTCTGTCTCAAAAATAAATAAAACGTTAAAAAAAAATATTTCTTTACAGGTTTTTGTATGAATATAAACTTTCATTTTTCTTAGGTAAATTTCTAGGAATAGGATTGTTGGCTATTGTAAATGTATGTTTAACTTTATAAGATGCTATCAAATTTTATTCCCAAATGGCTATGCCATTTTTTCTTTTTTTTTTTAATATAATTTATTGTCAAATTGGCTTACATACAACACCCAGTGCTCATCCCAACAGGTGCCCTCCTTCCTGCCCATCACCCACTTTCCCCTCCTCCACTGCCCATCTACCCTCAGTTTGTTCTCAGTCCTTAAGAGTCTCTTATGGTTTGCCTCCCTCCCTCTCTGTAAGTTTTTTTTCCCCTTCCCTTCGCCCATAGTCTTCTGTTAAGTTTCTCAAGATCCACATATGAGTGAATACATATATCTGTCTTTCTCTGATGGACTTATTTCACTTAGCATAATACCTTCCAGTTCCATCCACATTGCTGCAAATTTGAAATTCCAGCAGCATTGTATGAGAGTTTTAGTTGATCCATATGCTCATCAGAATTTGATATCATCTCTTTGTGTGTGTTTTTTAGCCATTCTAATAGATACATAGTTGTATATCTTGGTGGTTTTAATTTCCATTTCTTTAATGATTAATGATGTTGATCATCTTTTAATGTGTTTCTGTCTTTATATCTTCTTTGGTGAAATGGTTATTCAAAACTTGTATTCATTTTAATTGGGTTATTTGTTTTCCTATTGTTGAGTTTGAGGGTTCTTTATGTATTCTAGATGTAAGTCTTTTGTTGAATATATGATTTACAAATATTTCCTCCCAGTCTTTAGCTTGGCTTCCCACTTACAATAGTGTCTTTCACAGAATAAAAATTTTTAATTCTTATGCAATCCATTTTATCAATGGTTTTCTTCTATAGATCATGCTTTTGAGATCATATCTGAGAAATCTTTGCCCAGGACCATGAAATTTTTTCTCCTGTGTTTCTTCTAGAGGTTTTATAATTTTATATTTAGATCTATTATCTATTTTGAGGTAGCCTTTGTGTAAGATGTGAAGTATGGGTCAAGACTTTTTTTTCCTTTTCACACATGGAGGTCCAACACCTTTGTTAAGAGAAAAACTATTCTTTGTCAAAAATCAGTTCACTGTATGTGTACAGTTCTCTCCACATGTACATAGTATACAGCTCTCCAGTCTTTCCATTGATCTATGTCTTACCTTTCACCATTCCCACACAGTCTTGATTATGGTAGCTTCATAGTTAGTCTTAAAATCAAGCAGTGTGAATCCTCCAAATTTTTTTTTCAGTATTGTCTTAGCTATTCCAGTTCCTTCTCTTGTAAGTCTCAGAATTAGCATGTCAATATCTGCAGAAATTACTGCTGAGATTTTGGTTGAGATTGCATTATAATCTGTAGATCAAATTGGAAAGAATTGATATCTTAGTAATACTTAATCATACTTCTAATCCATTAAGGCAATATATCTCTCCATTTTTTAGGTATTCTTTCATTTTTTCATTAATGTTTTATAGTTTCAGCACACAGATTTGTACATGTTGTTAGATTTATATGTTAAGTATTTCCTGGTTTTTGGTGCTATTATAAATTATTCTGATTTTTAAATTTTACTTTTGTTGCTAGTACATAGAAATACAGTTGTTTTGTATATTAATATTATATCCTGCACCCTTGCTAAACTTACTTATTAGCTGTAGAAGGCTTTGGAGATTCCTTGGGATTTTCTATTTAGTTAATCCTATCACTTTCATTTTTTTATGAAATTTATTGTCAAATTGGCTTCCATACAATACCCAGTGCTCTAATCCTATCACTTTCAAACAGAGACAGTTTTATTTCTTCCTTTCTAATATGTATGCCCCCCCCTTTTTTTTTTCTTATACCTCATTGCACTGGCTAGGACCTCTGGTCTGGTGTTAAATAAGAGTGATGAGAGTGGACATCCTTGCTTTGCTCTTAATCTTCAGGGAAAGTTATTTGGTGTTTCACAATTACGTATGATGCTAGCTAGTTGTAGGTTTTTTATAAATGTTCTTTATCATGGGTAAATAGTATTTAACATAAGGATCCATTTTTGGAGTGTGCAACTCTAATGCCTTCATTTCTTCAGAAAATAATAACTTCAAACAGAAAAGAACTTAATTTTCTTTTTTTTTCACAACCTTCTAAATTATGCAAACCTAGTTATGGAGAAGCAGATGACATTGCGGAACTGCACCATGGGTCACTGAGTTTGTTAAAAGAGGGTCTAGGCTGTATTCCATCATTACGACTAGTGAATAAAGAAGGATAACTTTGTGGAAGACTAAGTTGGAACTCATTTTCACACTTTAAGACTCAGCTGTTAAGCTGTGTTCTTTCCCTCATTAAGGCTATCGTGGAGTTCCTGGACAGCTCAGTCAGTTAAGTATCTGACTCTTGATTTCAGCTCAGGTGATGATCTCACAGTTTGTGGAATTGAACCCCGTGTTGGGCTTCACGCTGGCAGCACGGAACCTGGAATTCTCTCTCACCCTCTCTCTGCCCCTCCCCCGCTTGCACACGTGCACTCACTCTCTCTCTCTCTCTCAAAATAAATAAACTTAAAAAAAAAGACTATCATGAACAATTGATATCAAGCAAGCCATGTAAACCTTGTTGACTCTGGTAAGCAAAATCTTGCTGCTGCTTCCGTTTGCCACCAAATATTTTTTTTTTCAACGTTTATTTCTTTTTGGGACAGAGAGAGACAGAGCACGAACGGGGGAGGGGCAGAGAGAGAGGGAGACACAGAATCGGAAACAGGCTCCAGGCTCTGAGCCATCAGCCCAGAGCCTGACGCGGGGCTCGACCTCGCAGACCGTGAGATGGTGACCTGGCTGAAGTCGGACGCTTAACCGACTGCACCACCCAGGCACCCCGCCACCAAATATTTTTAAAAAGTGGTCTACTTGTGTGGCTTTCCAGTTTTCCAAGCACCATTTGTTAAAGAGACTGTCTTTTTTCCATTGGATATGCATGGGGCATTTGTACCCCAATGTTTATAGCAGCACTTTCAACAATAGCCAAATTATGGAAAGAGCCTAAATGTCCATCAACTGATGAACAGATAAAGAAATTGTAGTTTATATACACAATGGAGTACTATGTGGCAATGAGAAAGAATGAAATATGGCCTTTTGTAGCAATGTGGAAGGAACTGGGGAGTGTTATGCTAAGTGAAATAAGTCATACAGAGAAAGACAGACACCATATGTTTTCACTCCTATGTGGATCCTGAGAAACTTAACAGAAGACCATGGGGGAGGGGAAGGAAAAAAAAAAAAAGAGGTTAGAGAGGGATGGAGCCAAAACATAAGAGACTGTTAAAAACAAGAAACTGAGGGTTGATGGGGGGTGGGAGGGAGGAGAAGGTGGGTGAGGGGTGCTGAGGAGGGCACCTGTTGGGATGAGCACTGGGTGTTGTATGGAAACCAATTTGACAATAAAGTTCATATTTAAAAAAAAAGTGGTCTA